CTGCAATCAGTTGAGCCGCAACTGAGATTTGAAGATTGCGAAAGTGCGAGGCAAAGCGACAACGCATTTGAACTTGAAGACGTTGTCCGGCCAAACGACCACTGGGCAATGCACAAGTTTCGTCATTATGACGGAATTGCTTATGTTTCGGCCCTCCCTAAGTCGTGAACTCGTAAGCATCGAAAAGACTGTGCTCATGAATTACGGTACCGACCGGAGTGAAGTGATTTGTCGGACATATGTTCGGAAGACGCTGATCTCCGAAAAGGTCGCCTATAACCTTGAAGATGCCAAACAAGTCCTGGACTGCGCAGAATCTCTTCACCCTTGCAGAGGAGCAGGTAGGGCGAAGGACTTCACCTATGACGTTCTTACGAAGAAACTGGAGCAGCAAATCTCTCATTCCGACGGCCTTGTCTTCAGTGTCACGTGCAAAGGAGCGGTTAAACAACAAGGTGAGTGCGGCAAACGTTTATTGAGACGTCACTTGTAATTGTACAATTAATCAATCAGTAACCTGTTTAATGCTAGAACATTTGTGTGGCCCCTAATTTTTGTAGTACTCATTAACATTTACGAAAGAATAGTTTGCCTACAGAAAGTGAAAGTGCATAAATTGCGTTTCAAACATGCATGGTAAAAAACTGGAAGCTCTTCATAATTTTTTCTCGTATACTTCCAGGTTCTTCATGCATTTCATGCAAGTACGTGAGGAAAGTAATACTCACCAGAAAAAGCTACCTAAAACGAAAGAGCGAAGAAACTCAGTCTCCACCAAACTGCGGGTCCTGAGTCAGAGAAACAAGCGGATGGCGACAAGGCTGTTGGACATTGCTGGTCGTCTCGAAGAGATGAGGGCAAACAATGCGAATGTCGCGGATAAAATACTAGAGGATAAATATCGTCACTACCGCGAAAGCAGCAGGCAAGTGTTCGCGCTTGCTTTCAAGCTGCCAAACAAACCAGCAAGCAGGGCATGCGCTACAATCAGGAGTGGATCCTCGAGTGTTTACTCATGAAACTAAAGAGTCCCCGGCTTTATCAGCACATCAGAAAGAACGAAATTCTCATGATGCCCAGCAACACTACTTTGAAAGATACTTGAGGTCATACGAGTCGGCCTTCGGTTTTAATCAAGCAGTAATGAACACTCTAAAGAAAAAAAACCGCGAGCATGTCAGACCTCGAAAGACACGGCGGACTATTGGTGGACGAAATGAAATTGTCAGAACATTTCAATGTGACGGCGTCTGGCCAGATTCAAGGCTTCGTGGACCTTGGAGAATTTACGAAGCCCGAAGACAAGTACCAGCAATGTGATCACGGCATGGTCATCATGTTTGTGCCTTTCGCTGGAAAATGGAGCCAAATTGTGGGCGTTTTTGCGACAAAAGGAAATGTGAGAGGAGACATTTTATTGAAAATTCTCATGGAAGCTACCATCCTCGTGGAACAGGCGGGCTTGTTCGTCGACCACATCACTTGTGACGGAGCCCCCTGGAATCGAAAAATGTGGAAGCTAGCGGGGGTGTCGGCGTCATCGAAGAAAATAAATGGCGCCATACAGCATCCTGTCGACGAGATGAGGAAATTGCACTTTATCTCCGATTTCCCGCATCTGCTAAAATGCCTCAGGAATGGTCTTCTCCAGAAAGGCTTTGCAACACCAGACGGATTGGTACGTATAGATTCATGGTTGACATTTTACAAAGATTGTGTTTTTTGCATACATTGCATTACCTCAACCTATATTTCTAGGTGTCTGTGCATCCGGTTCGGGAGGCGTACCTTCTAGACAGAAGTGTTAGGACACTGAAAGTTATGCCCAATTTGACCGAGACGCATCTGGAACCAAACTCATTTGAGAAGATGAGAACCCCTTTCGCCTTCCAACTATTCGGTCCATATGTCCTACGGGGCCTGGCCTTCTACAAGGAGGACATCGAGAGAAGGTGTGGCAGCATCGAGGCAACTCAGCTGTTCTTCTCGTGAGTTGCGCCTACGTTCCAAATGAATTAAGTGTAATCGTAAACATCTCAAACGCATGATGAGCGCTCTTCTGACATACATTCTTTTTGTTTATTTTGCAGGAAGATCCAACGACTGATCACCGTGATGACTTCCAGGTTTCGGGCCGAAGCGCTGAGACCAGCTTCTACAGACGTGGCATTCCTGTCCAATTTTCTGGACTTCCTGAATGACTGGGAATCATTCAGTGACAACAAGCGGCACTTTCTCAGCGAGTCCACTGCCATAGGTTTTAGGGTCACTATAGCAAATACCCTTTCATTGCTGAAGTACCTGACAGAGAGCGTTGGATTCAAATATCTCATGACATCTCGACTTAGCACCGATCCCGTGGAACATTTCTTCGGCATCGTTCGCCAGTCAAGTGGCTGCAACGCGCACCCCTCTCCGGATGAGTTTCTAATAACCGTCAACTGCTTGTCCTTTTATAACTTGGCGCACAGTGTGGACAGCGCAAACGCAAACCCTGACATGATAAACGCTCTTGTCACTGTGCATGACAGACAGGGTCTAAAGGTCACGCACAAAAAAATTGATGATCTTATATCACAGGGAAAACTTGGCGAGGTCGAAAGCACGATTGCCACGATGCCAGAAAAGTTTGCTGACCACATCGATGTGACTTTGGAGAAGAGTGACTCGAGACTCATTTACTACACAGCAGGGTACGTGGCCAGAAAGTGTGTATTGAAGTTGGCATGCGTACAATGCAAAGAAGTGCTTCTGTTTGAGAAAGCTGTCGCGGTTGCTGAACAGCTCCCTTCGCAATTCACGGAGCAATGCGACTGGGGTGGACTTCTGTACCCCTCACGACAGCTGTATGATTTCATTGCCTCACTTGAAAACTTGTTTACTGAATGTTTCAGTGTTTCCATGTTGCACACAGATAGCATCTCTGACATCCTTTCATTGGTGAAAACTAATTTTCTGAACTCGAAAGCGGTCGGCTGTCCAGACCACAAAGATGCAGTGAGCACAAAGCTCGTTTCGTTCTACGTGCTCACTCGCCTTCACTTCTTAGTGAAGGGAATGAACAGGGAAAACGCTTCGAAACGAGCGAGAGCAAAACACTTAAAGCTTAGCAGGACAACATAGAGCCTGACGTTCCTTGAGCGACGGTGTCGAAGTCTTTCGATGATATTTATTTTGTTTTTTATATTTATGCGAAAAGCTTGCGCAGTCAATTTAAAATAAAATATTTTGCGCATATCACTTCTTTATTGGTGTCTTTCAGACTTCCTATCTATAGGTGAAAACACGTTCATGTTTCGAACAAATGTTTGCATGGACACGTACCGCAGGCACGAAGAGAAAAGGTAAAATATAACATATTTCATTAATACCTACAACGTATACCAGCACTAGATGCCGAACAAAAACTCATCATAAAACCACCGCGACGGACGTGCGTCCGCCCTATAAGTCATTTCCTACGAATAGCACAGTTGCCGTCCGATGTGACTAAACTTCCTTTGCCAACACCCTCACGTAATCGCAACAGGACTGGTTCAGTTTTTCAATAATATCACGCGTCCCTAACGAATAGCTGCAAATTTGCAGAAGGGTTCGCATACTTTAGCTTTAATTCTCGTGATAACAGCTGGTAACTTTAGTCTTGCATCATATTCAATTTGCTGCCGTGAGTCTAAATTTGCACCAAACGCAAACTTACTTATATATCCCAGTTATATTGACATTTTTAAAAGCATCGCAGTTAATGCTCATATTACACTTTCGATGCGTACGTTTTCGCAAAAGCCAAATTCAACTTACGCTCTTGATTGTAAACAATTACCGTGGAAATCACGGTACTTGCGTGCGTGACTACCTATACGAGCAGGGCGTTTCGCAATATAAACATTTAGATTTTGTTGAACTGGCGCGGAAGCACGGTGCGACGCCGTTCACGGCCACGCACGCACGAACGAAGCAACAACGCTGCGAGACTGCGCCAGACGCGCGAGCAGCACGCGAACCGCGCGAACTATCAGACTACCCACCCGTCGCGAACCGCGTGGCAAAGGGGACTTGTAACCATGGCAACCACGGCTAAGTCTTCAGGTGAAGGCGATGGTAGCGCCACCTGGATTTTCCGAAAAAAACGCCTCAGCGTGGAGCCTTCAGTGGACCCACTCCCCCATTCTAGTACACTCTACCAAAACGAACCTTTCCCGCGCACGTATGCTCCACGGCGTGCATACGCGCGCACAGGGCGTTGAGACTGCATCCGCACCCAAAACGCTAAAAAGCACCAAGCTCTATTCTTCTGGAGCAAACCAACACATATTTAGATGCTTTGGGGGACGAGGCTCGCTTGCTAGGGAAACCGCGCACGTGCAGACACTGGCACTACTTTTTTACCGTTGCGCTCCGCCAACGAGCGCGCACTGCTCTGGCGCTCCGAATCATTTTGGGAGCACCTGTACAATGTACAATCACACAGTTTGAACGTACAAACATCAATATAGGTCGCTATGAACAATAATATACACAGCAGAAGCGATGACAAGACAGTGGCGGAACTATTGGTGGTTACAGTGCTAAAATTTCTTTACGTTCACTAAAGGTTCAACCGTGGAAAGCCATTCCGGAACAGTCTTGTTGTTTGAGCATATCAAAGTATTGAGCAAAGCAGTAACGGGCCATTGAGGCCAAGCAGCATTATAAGATCAAAGGCAGTCCATCCTCTTTTTGTACAGTTTAAAACATGATACCCAGTGAATGGAAGGGAAGTTCCTTTTTCTGGGTTTCAGCCGGAGACAATAGAACGCGATCTATCGTCTCCGGGTTTCGACAGATCAAACAGTTCGAACCCCATGGCATAACAAATCCTCCATTTTTTAAAAAAGTCTTAACCGGTAACCTGCCCGTATGTAATTTCCCACTAGACCACCTCGGCGGGGCGAGTGCATGCCAGCAAACCTACAACGCTTAAAACGAAAGGAAGAAAATAAACCAGCAAATTGACTCACTCAAGTCGTATACCGTCTTGCCCGCTGCAAAAAACGTCGGGAAATCAATCAGGGTCGGTTTGCAGTGGTTAAGTTGAATGCACATGCACGCTTTTCAGGATGTGCAAACGCATAAGAAAAGCGCTCAAAAGTGCAATCAGAGAGTGAAGCACCACTTTATGGGCACTCAATTTCACGCGAGCTGCCGTTGTGAGATAACGTAACAAAGGCAATGTTGCCGCCAAGGTTCAGCCTTAACATATGACAGTTGCCGAGTCATCATTTGACCACTTTCAGCCAAAAGTGGCGCCGGCTCAAAACATCTGACTACAAAAAAAAACTAAAAAAAGACGGTTACTTATAATTGAACTTTATATTTAATTTTTGTTCAGAAGTTTTCATATAAGTTGTATCTAAATTATGCCTATTGATCGCCCGATTCAACTACTTCATCATCATCATCAGTGCCAAGATGGCTGGTGGTCTACGCTCGTTAACTGCGCTCGCGTTCTTTGTAATCATTTTGCTCTCCGTCAGCGATGCTAGGAACCACCGGTTGTTGCTCAAGGTTAGTTTGGCGCTTTTTCAGTTCTTACGAGCGTGTCTGATTGTTGTATCAACAATCGGAGACCAATAACGGCAGTGTTGGTGGGGTCCACCTCTCCTATCAACACGCCCGTTGCCACATTAAATTTAGCGCAACTTAGAAATCCCTTGAAACACTCAAACATTCACGCACTCTTCCGGACAAGAAACACCCTCATCCAGTGTTTTCAAGGTGCCGTTAAAGAATGGTCTTCGATCAAACCTGTTATAATCAGGTAATGTGCATCCTTCAGATGAACGTCTCGGAAGCCGTGCCTGCGCTGTCGCTTTCGTGGCGCAGAATACAACGTGCGATCGGTGAAAATCGCGCACGCAGACATTGGCCACGCACGTCGGAAACCTTGGCGGAGCATACGGTGGACTTGACCTCCGCCCTCTTATTGCTGGCCTTTGTGCGTGTCTATCACCTGATTGCATTGGTTTCGTGCGCTAAACGTGGTAACGCTGCGTGAGTTGCGTTTCTTGCTACGCTAGTCATTTCATTGAAGTTGTTAATAAAAAGCGCAATTTTACAGAAGCGCTGCGTTTTCCTAAAGAGAAACATGGTATATTGAGGACAGCGACATAGCGATTTCTGTCGGGTTGTCAAGAAGGCTGCCTCACTTATGCATTTGTTAAAAGCAGAGGCACGCTTCACACCGTGAAACGTGGCTCGGCGAGTTGCGAAAAGTTTTGTTTAGTGTGGTTCACCAAGCCCGCTAGCATGATCAGCTTTTTCGCGGTGTTTTTGCAGGTTTACTTTAAATGTCGAAAACACCATGTATTAGGGTAAAAATGTTTGTGTGTTAGATCATGTTCGTTGCAACGGATTGAACACACATAGTCGCAATGAATATTCTTGCTATCTTCGGAGTGCTTTGATAGATGGAGCATCCCCTTTATAATGGGGTGATAACATGGGCACCACAAAGCTCGAAAAAGAAAAAAGAAAACACGTGCTTTATGCCTTGCTAACTTGAGTTAAATTGATCTTCTTGTAGAAAAAATCACCGTAAAGTCAAAGCCCACATATCTGCCCATTATGGAAGCATGTCCTGATTCTTCCCGCTATCTCTACCCTTTCTTTCTTCGTTTCTTGCTTAATTTCATCACAGACGTGCTCAGCTTTCAGTTGTTGCCCCTAAAGCACTAGGCTTCATGTAGGCTTGGGCCCTAATCTGCTCATGCATTCAGAATATCCTCAGTCGTTTTGTTAGCTTCTCCCTAGGATATGCATTGTTCTTCTCTATAACTATGCATTCTAACTTCTTCAATGAGCAAAGCATTTCCCCTTGATCCATGACAAAATTCTTCCTTTTTTCTTACGATAGTTGTCCAGAGTATTTTTTTACCATCGCTGCTATGCAATAAACTGTCTTCAACTCAATGACTTCAGCCATATCGCTTAGACTGCTTAGTGCTTTTTCTCCACCGTAAGAAACTGCTGTTCTTCTTCTAATTCCGGAACACCTTCTCTACTGATCTACTCTCTTTCATATTCCTTAGCCTTTCTTCGAACCTCATTTAGAGCTGAGCTTCTCTAATCTCAAAACTCAGCCATCCCATAAAGCCCTTAACAGCCTCATTAGTCGTGTTCCTGTGAGCACCGGACACAAGGCATCCCAGAGTCCTTTGATTCTCATCCATTCCCGATTGCACCTCTGACCTCATGTCATAAGCGTATCAGCCGGGAGGGCAAAAGGGATGCGAGCCCTCCCACTGAAAAATGTCGGGGGGGCTGAGCCCCCCCCTCCACTTTTGACAGTGGTCACAGTCAGCTGCACGCTGGGTATACCACAACTAAGGCATAGTTTTTGAGCACAGTAATCACTCAATCATATTGTTACGAGGAAATGAAATTGTTACCAAGGAATCTTTTAATAAAGTAAAATTTTTTCTAAAGTTCTTCTGTGACGATTGTCCTTGAATGTTCCTGGTGGTGATGGCCGCCGATGCGACTCTTTAGCAATGCAAAGCTGGCTACCGTACAGGGCGCGGAAGCGTCTTGTATTTTCTTTGTTATGAATTGGAACGAGCAATCGTTTTATAGACCAGTCTGAGCGTTTGCTACTTCAGGAAAACTGTTTTCTTTTATAAAAAATCAATAGCGTTTTTGCTGCTTTATCGGAGCTGCTGTGAGCTGATGATTGTGATGAATCTTTTTAAATGCTTTAGTTCTGTCGTACTAGGAGTGCCACGAAAAGGTTTGCGCTTTAGTCGCTGATAAATCTGATCAGCCTTGATTACGGTAACTAGGAGCGATGGAAGCAGTTTGCTAAGTGGTGAAGAATAAAGCAGTGGACTCGAGTACAGGTTCTAAGCTTACCCCGCAGCTTGACCCACCGGACGATGGAGAAGGTGAAATACTCTGGTTTTTTGCACGATGAAGGCCTCATCAGGAGTTGGCCTAGTTTGTTTTAATTGAACTAGAATTGTCTTTTACAGCTCAAAATACTACTCTGATAAAAAAGAAGCACATACGTGCAGCGCTGCTTACTTTTCTCTTGCTGAGCCAGGATGAGCTTACAGAGATGTACACGCACACATGCACTCTAAAAAGTTTTCTGGAGTAACTACGCAGTTACAACGTTTCTCCAAAAAAACAAAATATGAGCGAAAGATTGCACACAGTACCACAAGGAAGGGCACTTTCCTCCTTGTGTTGATTGATTGATATGTGGGGTATAACGTCCCCAAACCACCATATGATTATGAGAGACGCCGTAGTGGAGGGCTCCGGAAATTTCGACCACCTGGGGTTTTTTAACGTGTACCCAAATCTGAGCACACGGGCCTACAACATTTCCGCCTCCATCGGAAATGCAGCCGCCGCAGCCGGAATTCGAACTCGCGACCTGCGGGTCAGTAGTCGAGTACCTTAGCCACTAGACCACCGCGGCAGGGCCTTCCTCCTTGTGTAGTAAAGCACCCGTTCATTGGGGTAACTGCAGGAATTTTTGCGCTGTATGCAAACGACTCATTGGTGCCTACACAAGCGTGTTTCATTTTCAGACTGTTCTGCAGCATGGTGTGGCGCTGACTGAGTGGTTGTGAGTTGATTGATTCATATGTGGGGTTCAAAACCATCATATTGTTACGCGTAACTTATTTATTAAACTATATGCGATGCACAGAGCTCGGCGAACCAGATGGGGCCAGTTCATCAACAACCAGCAACAACTGTCGTCTTTCTCTTTCATGCAGCAAGGCTGCTGCGGCTGTTCTGTATCATAACCCCCCGGCGGTAGAAGCACCGTCTCGGTGCTTGAGCTAATCGCAAGCGGTGGATGAAGGGTGATAAGGCTTGAGTCGAGCTATGTGCACAATTTCCCTCGAAGCTGACAATAATGACGTTGGATCGGCTGGCGTGATCTCATATGTAACGTCAGTCACCTGGCAAACAATACGATACGGTCCAGTGTAGCGTGACAGCAGTTTTTGAGAAAGACCTACATGCCGAGTGGGGTACCACAGAAGAAAAGGGGAACCCGGTGAAAAGTGCACGTTCCAATCTTGGAAATCGTACAGCTGTCTTTGCTGCTCCTGTGAGGCCTGCAGACGGCTGTGGACGAGTTCGCGTGCGTGGTCGGCTTGCGCGATGGCTTTGCCGGCATACTCAGTGACCGAGGGCAGCAAGGCGTCAAAGGGTAGGGCGGGTTTTCGGTCGTATAGAAGATAGTATGGCGAATAGCTGGCAGTCTCGTGACGCGACGAATTATGCGCGAACGTCAAAAATGGACATCCCAGTTCTGGTGGCCGGCTGCTACGTATTTAGAAAACATGTCAGTTATGGTCAGGTTGAGGGGATCTGTAGGACCGTTCATTTGCAGATGGTACGAAGTGGTGCTGCAATAATATTGCTCCTGTGCCGTGCCCACTAGCCTCAGTGCGAAGCTCGGTTGAAGATGATGAATTGAAATTGGCTAAAATCAGTGGTGTTGTAAAGAGGGTCGTCTGCTGAGAAAACGATGAGGCTTGATCAGCGCCCCTGGAAAATGGGGCGTCCTTTTTTAGGAGGTTTGTGAGTGGGCGTGCAATGATTGCAAATTCCTTAACAAAGCGTCGAAAATAGGAGCAGAATCCCACAAAATTGCAAACGTCCTTTGTAGACTTCGGAACAGGAAAGTCCATGACGGCGCGAATTTTCTCGGGATCCGGGTGGACTCCTGCGGCATCGACGAGGTGGCCAAGTACGATTATTTGATGACGAGCGAAGTGGCATTTCGAAGAGTTCAATTGAAGCGGCTCGACGAAATACTTCAAGATTTGCCGATAAACTATCAACATGGGAGTCGAATGTGGGCGAGAAAAGGATAACGTCGTCTAAATAACATAAGCAGGTTGACCATTTGAACCCTTGGAGCAATGAGTCCGTCATTCTTTCGAATGTGGCCGGCGCATTACAGAGACCGAAGGGCATAACTTTGAAATGATAAAGACCATCAAGAGTGATGAATGTGGTCTCCTCACGGTCCATCTCATCGACAGCAATCTGCCAATAGCCAGATCGAAGGTCGATTGTGGAAAAATACGTAGCACCGTAAAAGCAGTCTAAGCCATCATCGATTCTAGGGAACGGGTAAACATCTTTCTTCGTGATTTTGTTGAGATGCCGATAATCTACACAAAAGCGCCTCGTTCCTATCCTTCTTTCTGATTAGGACCACAGGAGAAGCCCAGGGGCTACACGAGGGCTCGATTCTGTCTTTTGCAAGCATCCTTTTGACTTCCTGCTGTATGACTGTACGCTCGAATGTGGAAACACGGAATGGACGTCGGTGAATGGGACTTGCGTCACCAGTATTGATGCGATGAGTAACAACACTAATCTGGCTTAAGGACGTGCTGGCAAGTCGAAAATGTCACGATAGGACTCCAGGACGTGACGGAGGGCTTCCGCTTGATCAAGAGTGAGGTCCGATGGTACCATGTGGTCAACGTCGATGCCCAATAAACGTGATATAGTTGGATCACAGTCTGAGC